GCTCAAGTGAAAGTCATCTCAACAGATCCTGTTTGCACTGAGACCTTGAGATATATATTTCTTCAGCTACAGAATCTCACCTCATGTTTAGACAAAGCTGGGGCTGGGGGGGGGGCATTCTTGACAGGAGAGTATGATCAACACAATTAAATGCTGAAGATAGGTAAAATGATTACTGAAAAGTACCCTTTAGGGTACCAGGAAAGGGCAGTAGTAGAGGCCAAGGGCAGAGAGCAGTGGATAAAGGAATGAAATGAGAAATAAGAAAGTGGAGACAATGAGAGGATAAGAGAGAACACTGAGCTGTAAAGGGTAAAACAGGCTGGGGAAATGGGAGCTTCTGGGGGCTACATTCCAAACAAGAGCCCAAATCTGTCTTCATATAAATCAGACACTTCCATTCCCCTAAAACATCAGTTCTACAACTTCTTGGCCTTAGAACCTCTTTATACTGTTAAAAATTACCGAGAATCCCAAAAAGTTTTTGTTATTGTGGGTTATTTCTACCAATTTTTACTATATTAGAAATTAAAATGCAAATTTTAAAATATTAATTCATTTAAATAAAAGCTCAATATGTGCCAATGTGCATAAAAATAACATTTCTGTGAAAATTTTCCAAAACAAAACAAAAAGTGAGAAGAGGTTTTATAATTTTGCAAATCCCTTAATTTCTAGCTTAATAGAAGACAGCTAGATTTGCATATCTGCCTCTCTTGCAATATAGCATTTTAATGGTGAAGTATACAAAGAATATCGCAAGTTAGAAAGGGGAGAATTTTAAAAGCTTTTTCAAATAATTGTGGATATTCTTCTTTTAGACTATACCCAAATTCTGACAAGTGGTAGTTTCTTAAAGGTTATTTCATAAAAGTTAATAGCAATGTGGAATTGGAAACTATACCAATGAACTTTTTATACCCTGTTACATTAAATCTATTAATGTATCTTAGACTCTGAATAAATCTTTTACCAATATTTGATTCCATAACATCATGCATTGTCATATGGAAAGTACTGAGTTATGTAAATCTTCTAGATACTGACCCACTTATTACACTCTATCAAAAAAAGTACATTTGTTAATATCACTACTCATCCCATCAGAAAAGTCTGTAAATACTGTGAAGCTGTCTAGTTCATGCAGCAGATGTTTCCAAAACTCTAAAATTAACCAAAAACCTGATTTTATTATTGGCTATAAATACTATCAGTTGTTTTCTTGAAATGACAGGCGCACTTCACTCATATTTCAGAAAATGAATGCCCAGTAGCCAAAATTGAATTTTACAAGTAGTGTTCCATGAAAATAAGCAGATAGTTCAGCTTGCAACTCAATCATAGAAATGTTTTTCCTGAGACCATCATATTTCCATATGCTTTATACGTATTTCCCATTTTGTCACACAGAACACTAAAAAGGTGTACAAAGGTCTGGATTTAATAAAATTAATAATTTTTGCTGCTCCATCAAGGACACTCTAAAGCAAAACTTTTTTTTTTTTTAACTGTTAGGATATGACAGAGTATGACGTGGTGTCCTCATGTGTTTAGTTCTAAGGGCAGGCAGTTTTATCCACCATGACTTTTATATCTTCTGTGCAAATAACAGAGTAAAAAGTGAAAATAACATCTCAATTTCATTATGAAAATGGCTTTGACTTTGAAGACCTCCAAGGGTTTGAAGACCAGAGAACCGCTGCCCTACAGCAACTGTTTCCAAACAAGACACTCCAAGACAGAGGTTTTTCCAACACAGGGTAAAAGGAAAAAAAAGACACTGTATTACATCTTTTTTTCAAACCTAAACCTATTAAATATAAAAAAGCTGAATAAAAATTAAATTTTTATTTATTTTTTTAAAGATTTTATTTATTTACTTGAGAGAGAGAATGAGAGAGAGAGAGCACAAGAGGGGGGAGGGTAAGAGGGAGAAGCAGACTCCCTGCTGAGTAGGGAGCCCGATGTGGGACTTGATCCCAGGACTCCAGGATCATGACCTGAGCCGAAGGCAGTCACTTAACCAACTGAGCCACCCAGGCACCCTAAAAATTAATTTTTTAAAAAATTAAAAATAAAATAATGAAAGCTAAATATAAAAGAAGGCTTTTTAAAAAAAATTGGAGCACCTGGCTGGCTCAGGCGGTAGAGCATCCAACTCTTAATCTAAGAGTTGTACGTTCAAGCCCCCACCTCGGGTGTAGAGATTACTTAAAAATAAAATCTTGGGGCACCTGGGTGGCTCAGTCAGTTAAGTGTCTGCCTTTGGTTGAGGTCATGATCCCAGGGTCCTGGGAATCTTTGCTCAGCAGGGAGCCTGCTTCTCCCTCTCTGCCTGCAGCTCCCCCTGCTTGGGCTCTCTCTGTCAAATGGATAAATAAAATCTTTAAAATAAATCTTAAAAAAAAAAAAAGGACTGCTCTTTCTTTCAAGTTATCTGCTTTTTTGTATTAAAATATACTTTCTTTTATAAAATAAAAGAGGAAAGTAGATGGTAGTGTGAGAATTATACTAGTTTCTGACTTACTCTTATTTGGCAAAATGAAGGCTGGCCACACTGTGCTCATTCCCAGCTTTTTTTTTTTAAATAACATTTTATTTTATTATATTTTTTTAAAGATATTTATTTATTTATTTATTTAAGAGGGAGAGTGAAAGCACAAGCAGGGGAGGGGCAGAGGGACAGGAAGAGAATCTTAAGCAGACTCCCCAGTGAGCTCCGGAGCTTGACACAGGGCTTGATTCCACGATCCTGAGATCATGACCCTGAGCAGAAACCGAGTCGGATGCTTAACCGACTGAGCCACCCAGATGCCCCAATTCCCAACTTTTTAAAAAAACTCAGTTGCCCTCGGGTGCAATTGAGGGTCCTGAGTTTGAGCCCTAAGCTGGGGGTGGAGATTACTTAAAAATAAATTAAATAAATAAATAAATAAATACCTCAAGTGCCCCAGTGTGCCCTTGATCAAACAACTAATGTGTTTTCTAGATGCTCTGAAGCCCTCCTACAAGTTCCATAACTAGTTCTCCAGGAAATAACTAAGAATATGCCACGGGGAAAATTCATTTCAGTCCATCAATAAGCCAAACCTTTAAAAGCAACAGCATCCACGTAGTCAAGCAGATGAGCCTATTTATATAAAACACATGCCACTAACAAGACCAGTTGTTAAGCGCCTTAAAAATCCCACTCCAAGAATGTCTTCAATTGCACAAACTTCACAATGGAAATATGTCAAATGGATAGATGTGACGATGTGTCTCATTTCCTCATAAGCAAAAAAAAGAGCTTTAACTAGATGACCTTTAAATTCCCTTCCAGCTGACACTGTAATCTGTGTGATTCAAGGTTCCAGGTAGCTAACTGATAAATGTGTGGTCCCGGAGAAAAAGAACTAGAACTTGTATCTTCAGAAAAAAAATCTCAAAAGTACCAAAAACAAAACAAAAAACCCAAGCCAACATAAACAATGCACTAAATAGTAATCGCATCAGAAGGCTGTTCCAGGATCAAAGTTTACTTCAGTTAACTAGTTCCACAGTATTACTACACATGGGTAATTTGCACTGCAGTTTCAGGCTAACGTGGCAGAGGGAGGGGTTTGGGTGTGTGTTTTTCCAAATTAGATGTATTCTCCCTCCTCAAGTAAAGGATATGGGAAAAAAAATTGAGAGTTACAGAAAGGACAAGGAACCACACCTAATTTTATTTGGGTAGAGTGGGTGGAGGGAGACAGAATAATACCAATAAATACCAATAATAAATAAAAAATTAAGCCTATAGTGAAATTTCAAAACAAAACACTACTGAATCAGGCTCAAACTGGAGAGAAGTGGACATTACAAAGTGGCAGAATTTGCTTAACTTCTGGCAACTCTGCCCCAATGAATTATTTCCGAGGCAGGGTTCCACCCTCCGTAGCTAAGGCAAGTTATTGCATCAGGCACCGGTGCGGAAGAAGCCCATTTGGTGTTTACTACTAGATCACAGACACCCGGGTCCTATTCCAAGCTTTTGGCTTTGCCTGACTGGATGTGAGAATCCACTTGAGCTAATTATTTTCCTTGTCCTCTCTAAATTCTAATATTCATGCAGTGCCCTAGGTAAAGGAGGCCTGTATTAAATCACCAAGCCCTCTAGCCCATGAAACTTCCCTCCCTACCCCAAAATCAAATTTCAAAAATGTTCCATACAGAGGATGGCTGACTTCACCCAGTAACTCAGGAACATTTCCAGTTTCCCAGGTTTACGATCTGAAAGCTCACTCACCCCAAATAGTCTTTTGGGAACCCAAAGAAGATGACAGGAGTGAGCGAAGGACGATGAGCGAAGGACAATGAACTCACATCATAATTAGAAAAAGAAGTTTAACACCTTTTCACATCCACGTTTCAACTTTTTATTTTCTCAGCCGATCATCTGGCTAACTAAGCACTGAATGAAGGAAGGTGTCAAGGAGGAAACACTATGCAAAGCATTCTGAAGATTTTAAAAAAAGAGTCCTGCCGTAATAAGACAGAACCGGCAGCTTCGCCCCTGACCTGGGAAGAATTAGGAACCTCGCCACCCGGGTGGCACAAAGAACACCGCAGAGACTGGAAAACTGGAAGTTGAGGATACTGAGCTAGGCCAGGAGTAACCAAAGGACACAGATCCCAGCCCCAACGGAGAAAGGAGAGGCGCAGACATTAACAAGGACTGGGAAAGGAGAGCAGATCGCGAGGGGAGGGTCGCAGGATGTCGGAAGGGATCCGAGGGAGTCACCCAAGGAGAAGCTAGGACGCGGGTCCAGGGCAAGGAAGGTGGCCGACGCACGCGGGGACTGGAGTCCACAAAGTGGGGGAGGCGAGGAAGATACCAAGAAACCAAGGGCTTCCAGCGGATGAAGGAGAGGGGCAACCGGCGCGGTGGACGGGTGCCGGAGGAGGAGAGAGGATGACGGAGAGCAGACCAGGGGGAGGAGAGACCGGGGCCCAGGGGAGGCGCAGAATGCCAGTACCTGCTGGCGCACGGCAAGCCTGAGAGGGGCTAGCACCTCCTCAGCCCCGGAGCCGTCCATGCTGCTCCGGGAGGCGGCGGCGGGGAATGAGGTCTGGGCGCGGGCGCGCGCGCTGAAGGGCCGGCAGGACGGGAGCGGAGGCCGGGCCGGGAGCCGGGAGGGCAGCGACAGCAGCAGCGCGGCGCGGGCGGCTCTAAGCAGCGCCGAGCGCAGAGAGTGCATGAGCCCGCGGGCCTGGGCGGTCTGGAGCGGGCGGCGGCGGAAGCGGCACGCGCGGCCCGGCCGGGAGCATGATGAAATCGCCGCGTAAACGCCGCGGCGCGCGCGCAGCCGCACATTCCCCACCCCGCGACGCGGCGACCGGCAGATTCGACACAGAACCCGCAGTCCTTCGGAGAATCCAGACGGCTCGCTCCACCTAGGGCGCTTGGGAGGGCTGTGGGATCGCAAGTAACACCCCGCCAACAGACTTGCACAAAGATGAGCCAGGCCACCCCAGGGTGACCATTCCCGGACGCAGCCCCATACGAGACCTGCAGACTGAGACGCACAAGGACCGTCAAAGCGTAGGCTTTGGGCACTGACACTCGGGCTCACCCACGGAAATACACACTTCTGTTTGTGTTCGTGCTCCCCAGGGCCTTAAAGGCTCATATCCCATCAACTCAGGGACGTAGCCTCAGTGTTGCTCAAGCCTCATGCTCCTCGTATGAAGACACAAAAGAGGTTAATGATTTGCCCATCTTAACACACCCATGCCTTACGGACTTCAAGAAAATAGCTGGGGAAAGGCGGAGGAGAGGTGAGGGTCTTTTTTGAAAAAGTGAGTTCTGAGCAACCTTTGCGGGCGAGCAGGTTTTGAACCGGCAGACATGAGGAAAGGCAAGAGGCAAAGAGAGTAGAAAAGACTAGGAAAAAAGATAATGCAGGGGAGTGGAGCTGAGAATCCAGGTGCCCGCGATTCCCTCCTGCGTGGCCTTGCCCCAGGAGACCTGCCCTCTTGTGCTTGGGGCCCCGCTGACTACCCTCCAGAGATGACTTCCTCCCTCCTTTCTGCCCCAAAGGTGGGTTGGCAGGCAAAGCTCGATTCCCTTTCCAGAGAGAGAATAGAAAAATAAAGTGTTGGTTATAGAAATAGCATTGCGCACACCCACCAGAATGTCTAAAATTAAAATGGTGGAAAATGGCAAGTGAGGCTCTGGGACTGTCTGTCCCACACAGCTGCATTAAAGAACTGTTTGATGGCGTCTATTAGAGCCAACCATACACACCTTCCCTGTGATCACCCCAGGAGCTTAGGAGAGTAGACAGGCTCACCAGAATGAAGTTGCCTTTCCCAGTACTACGGAAGTCCATATTCTTTTCCTGTTCCAATTTGTGGTTCTGGAGAAGTACTGACAGTTGAGCATAAGCAGGGCAGGTGCAGAAGAACTGTCTGCTGTATTAAACCATTTGTGTTTTTAAAACCTTTATTTCAAGATTTGACATTAATCACCATCTTTATTTGGCTTCATTTTAATAGGTAATTTTGAATTTAATATTTTTAAAAGATAACAATTTTAATGTTCACATATATTCTTGTTTACATTGTTATAAAAACATATTCAAATACTGTATATTTTTAATATACTTCTATATGTATTTTCAGTTCTTTAGATCAATAATGTCTCATCGATACTCACATGAGGACAGTGCCAGCTCTAGTCTCCAAATCTGTTTTCCCCCTTCCAGTTCATCCTCCCTACTGCTGCCTCAGTGATTATTTCTAAAAGGCAAAGCTGTGCATTTTGCTTCTCTGCTCAGGACACTTCAATAGGTCCACATGGCCCTTAGCAGAATTTCCTAAGTGGTTTCCCTTGGGAAACTACATCTACAAGACAATAATAATAGATTATATTCATTGAGGGCATACTATGTACAAGTTAGCATTCCAATTTATCTCCTGTAAATTTATTCACAATCCAATAAGGTAGACTCTTTAATAATTCCCATTTTATAGGTTCAAGATTCAGAGCACTGAGATATAAATAACTTGGCCATGGTCACACAGCTACTGAATAGAGGACCAGAATGTGAGCTGGGGCAGAGGCAGGTGTAACGTATAACTTAATGAAGCTCAGTTTCTCTTTTTTTTTTCTTTAGCTCATTTGTTTGTTTCTTAAATTCCAAATATGAGTGAGATCATGTGGTATTTGTCTTTCTCTGACAGATTTATTTTACTTATCATTATGCTCTCTAGTTCCATCCATGTTGTTGCAAATGGCAAGATTTCATTCTTTTTTTATAGCTGAATACTATTCCATTGTAGATATATCCTTCACATCTTCTTTATCCGTTCATCTATCGATGGATACTTGGGCTGCTTGCATAATTTGGCTATTGTAAATAATGCTGCAATAAACATAGGGGTGGGGCACCTGGGTGGCTTAGTCGGTTAAGCATCTGCCTTCGACTCAGATCATGATCCCAGGGTCCTGGGATCGTGTCCCACATTAGGCTCCCTGCTCAGCGGGGAGTCTGCTTCTCCCTCTCCCCATGCCCCTCCCCGCCCCCGGCTCATGCTTTCTCTCTCTCTCTGTCTCAAATAAATAAATAAATAAATCTTTTAAAAAAAATAAACATGGGGTGCATGTATCCCTTTGTATCAGTGTTTTTGTATTTTGGGGGTAAATACCCAATAGTGTGATTACTGGATGGTAAGGTAGTTCTATTTTTAATTTTTTGAGGAAGCTCCATCCTGTTTTCCACAGTGGCTACACTGGTTTGCATTCCCACCAACAGTACAAGAGGGTTCCTTTTTCTCCACATCCTCATCAACACTTGTTTTTTCTTGTATTTTTTATTTTAGCCATTCTAACAGGTGTGAGATGATAGCTCACTGTGGTTTTGATTTGTATTTCCCTGATGATGAGTGATGTTGAGCATCTTTCCTTGTGTCTGTTGGCCATCTGTATGTCTTCTGCCGATTTTTTAATTGGATTATTTGGTTTTTAGGTATTGAGTTGTATCAGTTCTTTATATGTTTTGAATACTAACCCTTTATCAGATATGTCATTTGCGAATATCTTCTCCCATTCAGTAGGTTGCCTTTTAGTTTTGTTGATTGTTTCCTTTGCTGTGCAGAAACTTTTTATTTTGATGTAGTCTCAATAGTTTATTTTTGCATTTATTTCCTTTGCCTCAGGACACATATCTAGAAAAATGTTGCTACAGACAATTTCAGAGAGATTACTACCTGTGCTCTTCTAGGATTTTTATGGTTTTAGGTCTCACATTTAGGTCTTTAATCCATTTGAGTTTATTTTTGTGCATGATGAAAGAAAGTCATCTAGTTTCATTCTTTTGCATCTAGCTGTCCAGTTTTCCCAATACCATTTGTTAAAGAGACTGTCTTTTTTCCCTTTGGATATTCATTTCTTCTCTATCAAAGATGAATTGACCATATCATTGTGGGTTTATTTCTGGATTTTCTGTTCTACTCCATTGATCTGTGTGTTTATTTTTTTTTTTAAGATTTTATTTATTTATTCATGAGAGACGGAGAGAGAGAGAGAGAAGCAGAGGGAGAAGCAGGCTCCCAAGGAGCAGGGAGCCCAATACGGGACTCGATCCCAGGACCCTGGGATCATGACCTGAGCCGAAGGCAGACGCTCAACCATCTGAGCCACCCAGGCGGATCTGTGTGTTTATTTTTATGCCAGGACCATACTGTTTTGATTATTACCACTTTGTAATATAATGTGAAGTCTGGAATTGTGATGCCTCCAGCTTTGCTTTTCTTTTTCAAGATTCCTTTGGCTATTGGGGGTCTTTTATGGTTCCATACAAATTTTAGGATTGCTTATTCTATTCTGTGAAATATGTTGTTGATATTTTAATAGGTATGCATTAAATGTGTCTATTGCTCTGGGTAGTATGGACATTTTAACAATATTTGTTCTTCCAACCCATGAACATGGGTTGTCATTCCATTTCTTTGCATTGTCTTGAATTTCTTTCATCAGTGTTTTATAGTTTTCAGTCTTCCACCTCTGTGTTTTTTGTTTTTTTGTTTTGTTTTGTTTAGGTCTTTCATCTCTTTGGTTAAGTTTATTCCTAGTATTTTGGTGCAATTGTAAATGAGATTGTTTTCTTTTTTTTTTTTTTAAGATTTTACTTATTTATTTGAGAGAGAGAGTGAGAGAGCACAAGCAGAGGGGGAAGGGTAGAGGGAGAAGCAGGCTCCCCACTGAGCAGGGAGCCCGATGCGGGGCTCAATCCCAGGACCCTGGGATCATGACCTGAGCCAAAGGTAGATGCTTAACCAACTGAGCCACCTAGGCGCCCTATTTTTTTTAGTTTCTATATTATTTGTTTTTGTTCTATTGTTTATTATTTCCTTCCTTTTGCTGGATTTGGGTTTTGTTTGTTGTTGTTCCCTAAGACTATTCTTAGTTTGCATGATTTTCTTTCCTCTCCTTTGCTCAGCTTGGTTACTTTCCATAACTCTGTCTTCCAGTTCATTAATTCATTCCTCTACTTCTAGCTTGCTACTTATTCCATCAAGTGTATTTCTTATTTCATTTATTATGTTCTTGATCTCTGATTGGTTCTTTTTTTTTTATCTCTGTGTTAAGGGTTTCACTGATGTTCCCCACTCTTTTCTCAAGTCCAGTGGGTATCTTTATGATCATTACTTTAAAATCTTTATCAGGCATATTACTTATATCCATTTCACTTTGGTCTCTTGCTGTGGTTTGCTCCTGTTCTTTCATTTGGGAGATATTTCTCTGTCTCCTCATTTTGTCTGATTTTTGTGTGTGTTTCTTTGTGTTAGGAAAGTCAGCTACTTTTCTTGCTCTTAACAATAACAGCATTATGAAGAAGAGGTCCTATAGTGCCCTGCAGTATAGTGTTCCCTGTTCCTCAGGGCCTGGCACTTCAGGGATTATCTCCTATGTGTGTTGCCTGCACTCTGCTGTTGAGTCTTGGCCTAATTTTCCTTCAATCTAGTTGTTTGCAGAGGCTCTCTCTGCCTATTTGTGGGCAGTGTTTGGTCCCCAGCAGGAGTGGGAGGCATTTTAACAAGGTATGGGTTGGTCTGCTTGTGAAACAAGGCATACTCCCGCTGCCACTGGAACTGAGGTCTTACAAAATGCACAAGTCCGAGAGATGTGGTGTTGGCAGGATTTGCTCAGGTCTTCTGTGGGAGGGTCCGCAGTGCCAGGACTGAAGTGAGCATGGCTGGAAGTGAATGGACCCTTGAAGCGTGGAGGGCGAGGCTTGGTGCAAAGTAGAGAGTTTTGTTGAGGTGCTGCTTCCTGCAG